ATACTATATGGTGTGACGAGTACAAATCCTATTTACCAGGCGCAGAACAGAAGACAAGGTTTTCTCTCACAAATTCCAAATAAGGTGGAACAAATTATTTTGGGAGGTAATGGGCAGGCAGTAGTCACCCATTTCTGCTTGCTATGACCTGAATAATGAGAAAGTAAATTATTCAGGCAAAATAGTCAATTGGATCCCAACAGGAATGTCCTCTCTCATCCCATGCTACCTTCCTCCTTCTTTTTCATTTAGTTTCATTATAGTAAACCTCTAATGTGAACTGAAACTAAATGTTTGTCATTAGAACCCATCAGTAATGTATCTTCAACTGCTTTACTTTATTAGTTGCATCTTTCATAAGCAGCCTATAAAGTTTGGATGGCTTTTTAAATTTTTTTTTTTTGAGCCACAGCACTATAGAGGCGCTGACATCCTACACTGTCAGAATTTCTATCCAAAGCCCTGAGGCAAAACCAACCCAGCCCAACAGTAATATTGGGCAACAGAGTACATTCATTGCCAGCAGAGAAGGGGTTGGGAGGTTGCCTTTTCTCTTCATGTGCAAGGCCTAGCTTAACAGGACTCAGGTCCTTGATAAGAGCCTCTAGATGCTACTATAGTTCCCACAATGGCCAGGCAATGTCAGACAGATTACAAATTTGCATGAATTCAAGAGTGACTTTGTGGCACTTTGGAATTCCTAATGCCGAGCTGTGACAACAGTGTGCATTTTTCAAGCTAGTCCTACCCATTTTCCTCCATATTGGAGCATTTTAGCTTGCAAAGTACATTTAATAGGGTCAAAATCTTTTTGTACCCTCTGGGTTCTCCTCCTGCTAGCTGGTTTTTAGTATCATCATTAGTGGCTCCTTCTTTTGCTGATATCCCTCAGAATCCTGCTCTCTGTCTTCTTCTGAATACCCCTGGAATTTTAAGGGGATCTCATTTGCTTCTACAGCCCTAGTTACTTCCTTTATACTGCTAATTTCCTATTCTTATCCCTGTATCCTCCCCAGCCTTCTGCCAGTGCCTCGGCTTTTTGACTCTCAACTATACTTGAATTTCCAACCCTCTAGGCACATTATATTTTCAAATTATTTTTTTTCTTACTTACGCACCTCCTTTCTTCATCACCATATGCAACTCCACTCTCCTTCCCTATAATCAGCTTAACACAGTGGTGTCATCCTTGACTTCTCTCCTCTTCCCTTCCTGTTTTCAGTTTCTTGCTAAGTGCCATCAATGCTACTTCTTTAGTATCACTGAACTCCACCCCTGTTCTCTTCCTAAACCCACTCATTCAACTTTTCCCGCATGGTGGTTGTCACTTTCACCTGTCAGGCCCCACTGCTCTCACCTCTCCAATCTAACCCAAAGCCCTGCTACTAGATCCATCTTCTGTCCCTGCCCTAATTCCACTTCTTCCCTCCTCTTGAATCCTTGTACTGACATCCTATTGAAACCACAGACTCAACTTTAAGTTCTGCACATTCCTCACTTTCAGGACCCTAGCTTCAACTTGTTCACAGCTCTTCTTATGTCCTTGTATTCCTCCCACCACCCCAGGCCCTTGTCACTTCCACATCACTTCAGTCCTCTCACTTTACTTTCCTCCTTCCAGGCTTAGTACCTCATTTCAAGCTACCCAATATAAGGGACTAGGGTGTAGGCAGTCTGGCCTAATGGTTAGGCCAATGAGGGGAAGCAGGGCCAGGGCCTGGGTCAAAGAGCATATACCAAAGCCAGAAAGCAGAGTCCTCAGAAATCCAGTCAGAAATTCAGAAGCAGAGTCCATAACACAGTCCATTGTCAGATGCCAAGTACCAATCTGGAGGACAATTCATAGAGCAAAGTCCAAAAAAACAGAGCCAAACAGAGCCAAGAAACAGAGTTGCGGGGAAAGCCAAAGCCAAAGCCAAAAAATAAGCTGAAAACCAGGGTCAGGAACCAGAAGAACAGGAATGCAGGAACCAGGAGGCTTGCCACAGCATAACTGTCGAGTGACCTGTAGACCCAGGGTACACTGGTGTTAAATGGATGCGTGGTGCTCCCAGCAGGCAGCCAGTGTGCTTGCTGCTCCTAAACTGGGGAAGAGTTCATTACCTGGGGCTCGCTGCAATGTCCCTGACACTCAAACTCTTTGGGTGTTTTCTACTTTAGAAAACTCTTCATCTTTCAGGCTCACTTCTTCCTAGAATCCTGCATAGCATTCCCGCACAAAAAGTGCTTTAATCCTCTGAACGTTGTATTCTGCCTCCTTTAATCTGTTCTATTGTAGATCTGTAAAGCACCATGTACATTTGTGGCGTTACACAATAGTATATATATTTTGTAAATCCTTCTCAAACTATTTTTTTGTCTTTAATTTGTTTTATAGCTAGAATACAAAGTTTTCCTGCCATCATCCAATCACTTTACACTATACTTTGCAATTTTACTTTTTCCTCTTAGGTTTACCTGTAGTTTAACATTCAAAGTATGGTTGTGGCACAGAATACCTCAACAGGGTTGTATTAAAAATGCCCTTTAAAATTCCAAAGCTTTGAACTAAAGAAATATATCTCAAGAAGTTTTCATGGAAAGTTCATCTCAGTTGGTTCAATTCAGCTACACTTAGATGCACCTTTTCAAATAATAGAAAAAAATGTAAAGGGGTCAGACCCAATCAATACAGTTGTTCAAACAGAATTCCAGTCACTGTGATGTGTGTACATTTTGTGCTCTTTCTTTGTACTGCTCCACTATGAAGAAAGGTTGCTTTTGCTAGTAGAGCAATAAAAGTCTTAGCCTTTTGAATACAGCCAACTAACCAATGGGAATGTTTACCAGGTGTGGAAAATATAGCAATTTTTCATGTCTTTCCTGTGCATGTCTCTTTGTTCTTTTTATAACTACGCAATCCACACACACAAACCGTACAAGCAAATGCTTTAAAATACCCCAAGACAGACATAAATCAGAGAAGTGAAGCTTCAGATCATTCCTTCTAAATCTCATATGTTTGAGAGTAAGTCAATCTGGTCTCTTCCTTGCATAAGAGCCAGAAGTTAATTGCCATAACACAGGGGAATATATAAATATCTGAGATTTGAAAATCTAAGTAAACGGCACAGAAGAAATATAAATCTGTAAGAAATACTTTAAAAATGTTATAACTACTATATTATATGTAGATTCAAAACAGAAAGTCTTCAGAAGATTTCAGATGTTTAGGTCAATTTATGCTTGAGCTTTGGCATTTTTTTTTTAATCAGCAGCAAAGGTTCGATATTATTTTCATTAACTTGCAGATAGTAAATCCACATGCAGCAACATTCTACACAAATGTTTTCTGGAATAAAATCTGCTCACTGAAAAAAACATCTAATTAAGTTTGTTTGTAACTTTGTATTTCTGACTGCAGTAGAATAAATTGTCTTCAGTGCTTTCAGTTGCTGTTACTATCTCTCTCTCTCCCAGTGGTTCTCAACTTTTCTGGACTTGAGGCACTCCTCAGAAAATAACAACTTAGTTTTCACTCTTTTTTTTTTTTTTTTTTTACTACAGAGAAATAATAAAGCAATTCTTTTGTTGCAAAGAACTTAGAAAGGTCACAACATGTCAGACTGTTTTTGACACTATGGATTCCTATGTGAAAACTCTAGGTTTTATTTTGTGAATCATGTTTGCACACCTAACAGTGCTAACATTGTCAGGCCACGCTTCACATCCCTAGAAAGGATCTCAAGGCGCCCCAAGGTGCTACAGTCTATCACTTCAAAAATCTATAAAATGACGTAAGTAGGGCCAATACCATCACTGACCTAGAATTTTTCCTGGTAGTCCACCACACAAATGCAAAACAAGTAACAGAAGTAAAATATGAAAACAAGGAGATGCCATTCCCTTCAAAATAGCTGAAAGTAAGGCAGGTGTGAAAACTGCAAGGCTGTGAATTTGTACACTGTAACAAATGAAAATGATACTAATATAAAAGGAACAAAAATTCAAGTCTTTAGCTTAAAAACCACTTAGATTTTGTTGCTTGATGTCACAGCAATATAGTGGACTTACAAATTAGTACCTCCAAAATAAAAAAAAGATATAGTATCTACATTTTACTTGAACTTAAAAAAAAACACACTATCTTAAAAGCTTTTTACAGCCCAGTGTGAGCCAACTGGCCAGCTATTTTCTGACTGCCACAGTTTAAGAACGTACTGTCTAGAAACTGCCAGTGCATTTACATTATCATTTTCTAGCCTCCGTGTTGCAGTGAGGGGTGTGGTAGAAGTATACAGCTAGGGCTGGCAGATGGTTATCAAATTGTTTAAAAAAACCCAAACAAACAGCAATCATCACTTCTTCATAAACAAGCAAGAAATTACCCATGAGAAATTATTCAACACCAACCTGAGGTTCCTTCCCCCACAAGTTCTGGCCAGCAGATAAGTTATTAACATCAAATATGGCTTACAGTAAAGGCTTCGATAAAAGCAATTTATCTGGGATTTTCTTCTCCAAAATATGGAATAAATTAAAGGGAGAGGTATTTGATTTGTCCTAGGCCAAGAGCTTTTTAAAAAGTTGTTTTATTATTTAATGCATGGATGGACCATCTCCAACATAAGGCATCTTCAGTGCATCATTGCTCTGCACCCACTATGAGATTAAGCAAGTGGGCTTCTTGGCCAGTGAGTTTGAGCTGGTTAGGAAACCACTGGCTGTGTCCCATTGTCTCATAGTGAGGCCTGTCTAGCTCCCCTTGTGCAATCTTGGCATACTTTTTGAGGAAGAATGCAGTCTTTCACAGAAACTAGGAATCACCATTAACCCTTGTGACTTTACATATCTGCACAACATGAGACAGGGATTGTACAAAGACCTCGCCTCTAAGTTCCCATTTCCCATGAATTTCAATGGGTTTTAGGTAAGCCCCAAAGCATTAAATATAACAAAGAACTGAGACTTTAAAAATACCCTGAAACTGATAAAAAGATAGCTGACAAGATGAAGGCATTTTTGTTAATATTTTAATCTGTACATATACCATTTTTTCCAAACTGTTACATTTTACTTTAAATTAATGTTTTCTTGAAAAATATTCACTTAATTTCTCTTCAAATTTTTATAAAGGCAAAAATAAAATCATTTTATTTTGGCAAAATGTTATGAAGTTGACATTGGCAGTATTGAGTTAAAATAGACTGCATTTCCTAAATATATTTATAAAGAATAATTCTTAGCATAGTGAAAATACAGTATGATTTTTATTATTTTATGAATTTAAACAAACTTCAAGCTCAGGCTAGTCTGTCTTTTTAAAACCATTACTTCAATGCAGCAAAAACACACAACTTAAAAGTCTCAAAGAACACTGCAAAGTATTTTTAATCACTTCTTTTTTAGGCCCAGACCCTTACTTAAAAGATTACACAATACTGTAGGATTATTCATGCCTCACATTGAAAGTGTCTACACACTTTTTCCAGAAGCAACAGAAGTTTATTCAAACTGATTTTCTTGCTAGGTGACTGGCTGACTCCTTGCCTTGTACCCAAGTAAAACAATGTACTTGAAAGTTTTGGCAAAGTAAAGCACCTGTTGAATTTACATACAAAATAAGCAGGTGCCACTTTACATTATTTTTGCTGCTTCTAGGTAAGTACTTGTCAATACATCACATTTTACTTTGCAATGAAAAACAACTAGAGAGAAAATATATATATTTACTAGTAAAATAACACGTTCTATTAGCACTTTATTGCTCACTTCATACACTTTAATTAAAAGTTTATTTTTCCTCCTCATTCTCTTACATTAAGAAAAAAATATATTTTATTAGCTGCTTGTTACTGAGGAGGATAGCACTACAATCAGTGGTAACATAACACACTATGTAATGTTATTTGTGAGGTAATTACAAGGAATTGAGAAGTGAACTGGCTTTAGCAATTGAATACCATAATATTGTTCTTTATGGTAGGATTCCAACAGCTTGATGGTACTAATATTTAGAAATTCAAGCTAAGAGTCCTTTGCTATTTTATGAGTAAAACAGGGTGACCAATTCTACCAAAAAGAGAATACTCAGTTAATTTCTCATTTGAATTAGCTTTACTAAAATGTCATTATGTGCTTCAAGAGTATTATATTTTATCAAGGAACTTTACAACATGCACCCAAACTCTAAGGTAAAATAATAGTTTGTAATGACTATAGAACAAGGTCTTTTTATATGTGTGTGTGTGTGTGTGTATGTATATATATAAATGAACTCAGCCCTTGATTAAAAAAATCTAAAATATATTCTGTTCTAAAAATACAATGTCAGTATTTTACAGAGTGTATTAAAAGTGCCATGTATTCATAAAAAATCTCTGAACTAAAGCAATGTCAAACTAAAATGTTTTGCAATTCACTCATTTTTCATAGAAAATCCCACTATTATTCTCTGAATTCGTTTCTGAAAAAACATGAACAGCTGATGAACGTCTTCAGAGAGCAGCTGGTATAGTGAAGTCTCTTCTTTCATGCTGCGTCATCAAATGGTTGTTGTGCATCTGATGTCACTGTTCAGTTACTGCTTTGGCTGGCATGAAATAAAACAAAATGCAGTTAAATATTGTAAATTTTGCTTATGCAAAATTTGCTTATGCAAAAGTAAACACTGTTATAAAAACACATTTTTGTATGACAGCCCTCAGTGAGAGAGGATGAACAGTCACTAAATACTTAGGTGTGAGCAATTATTACCTGATACCATTGAAATCCTGGGAGAAATAAAGAAAACATCCACTGATCTATTGTGCCTCTAACGTAATGGCTAAAATTCCCAGACTTCCTTTAATTATTTCCATTAAAGAAAATGTAATTTCTTTAGTATATGTATACTAAATAAATGTATAGTGTAAATGTATAGTGATTCTCTCATACTGATTCATTGTTAGTATCTACGGGCTGTGTACTCTTTCTATAAGTTCAGGACCAGATTTTAATAATCTTATTCAAGTGCAAGAGTGTTTGTCTCCACAAGTGCTGCAGAACCCAGATCATTTGTATCCAGATGGTTTGCGACCCACTTAATTTGTAGTGGGTTGCCAAGTGACAGACAATCTGTGCAACTGTTTGCTGTGGCTTTTATTTTAAAGGGTGCTGCTTCTTCAGTCAGCTGGAGTACATCAGCTTTCTCACACAGCTGACTGAGAAGCTGCACCTTTTGAAGTAAAAAGCTGCAAAAACCAGCTGGTGTATATCAGCAGTCCTGGGCAGCCGATTGCAGTGGCTATCAATTCTCTCATGTGGTTCACAAACCCTTATCTTTGCAGATGCTAAGGAACCAAACCCTACCAAGCTAGGTACAGACGTTCAAAAAGCCCGAGGTGGAATCAATCCAAGTTTTGTGGTTTTTTTGCAAGTGTCATAGTTTAGATCAGTAACAAAGACCACACATACTCACCCTTTTGGGAAGCAGGGGGCAAATCTTAGACTGTGTTCTGCCATTTTTAAACCAGTTTGTGCATGCCGAATTTCTGTTCTGTTATGGGTATAGACTGGTTTCAGATCACTTATACGGGTAAAAGTGTAATGTTTGTACCTGGCCCAAATGATCTGGGTTTGACTATAGTTCCATGTGATCTCCCTGGAGTTCACTTGTAGAATTATGTATTATTCAGTTTAAGCAAGAGTGGTGGAATCTGATCCTCAAACAGAAACTAAACTAATTATTGATTTTTCCACTTCTGTCAAGGTCCCTGGCTGTTCTCAGTGAAATGGGCACAATACTACTGCTCTACATCTATAACATGCCTTGAGAAAGCCCCAGCCCTGCAACTGTTCTCAACAGAACTCCTACCGAGGCAAGCACAGTTTCATTTGAATTGGATATTTTATAGAGCCTTTTATAGAGGGAGATTTGAATAAAAGTGCTGATCTCATAAACATGCTCAAACAAAAAAACATGGTGCCCAGAGATTAACATCATCTAAGGTGTGCAATCACACTAATACATTAACTGAAGTTGTATGCTGTGGTATGAGGAAATAATAGCTCATCTAAAACTGGGGGAAAAAATGGAATAAAACTAAATCCTGGAGGTACAGCAGTTGCCATTAAAAAGTGAACATTTAGGGGGAATAAAATGTCACAATATCTACATTTTTTTCCCCATTACATATGCAGGAAACTCTACAAATACCATTGCAAAGGTGCTGTAAATGTTTATTTTCAAGATTGATGCAGTAGAAGCCCTTTTTAATATGGCACCCATTAAACGTGTACCTGAGAAACTACCTTACACCAGGTATCGAAAGCAAACCTTCTGTGAATAACATACATTGTAAAACCAATGAACACATAGATTTGTCATACAAAGTAGTTATATTAATAATATGGGCCAAATTTTCAGCTGGTCTGAAACAAACCTCAAATTTTCCTTTTCTTTTTTGCAAAAATACATATGTTAAATCCTTTCCCTCCCCCACAGACACTGCACGCAGACCCAAATGTAACTATTTTTCAGGTATACCTATGCAACAAAGGTGCATATGTTTTCACTCTAAAGATGAAAACATGTGCATGTATTCTGCAGCTTTGATACTGGAAACCATTGAAAGCCCGGCCCCAAGTTTGCAATAGCATTAACAATTTTTTTTTTCACCACACTAAGACGACCAAAGCAATGTTTGCTTATCTTAAAACTACAGTAGTCATTTAAAGGCTCACAGGTTAGCTCATAAGAAGCAACAGTTATATGAATAGATTGTTCTGACTGCTGCAAATTGCATGCATGCATTCATTTGCTAGGGGTTAGGTTGTTTTAGTAAAAGATGTTAATTTTCAATAAGTCAAAGCAAAGACGAAACAAAGCGGACATGCCAAGAGCAGTTAGTTCTTACTTTCAAGGTGTTTAGACAAATGTGTAGTGAAATCCATTGCTTAAGGGGGAGTGAGGTGGTTGTGGTACAGAAGGTGAGAGTGCTTTAGATGGGTAGGTCAACTGCTGAGCTAGAAGGGATCACATACAGGAATTAGGCAGCACAATCAAATATTAAAATAGAGCCACCTTAACTTTCTACTACATAATTAGGTGTTGACATTATTTCAGTTACACGGAAGCTACTATTTAACAACATCTCCACCTGCTGTTTCACTTTTCTTCAGTCACAATAACTAAGCTGTGCAAATAAACTATTCTTGTTTTCAAGCAGCATATAGAAAGCACTTATTTAGATGATGTGGACTGGAACAGTACAGCACACAACACTGATTTACACCAGTCCACCTCCATAATCCCAGGATAACATGGATGTCTGCAAAGCTAGTTTACTGATAGATATTATACTAATTTCTAGCGTTTCCTGTCAGATTCATGGATAGAGACATAAAAAGAGAAGATACACACCGAAATATTACACATTTTAAAATAACATATTGCTCCAGTAATAAATTGCCTAAAATATCAGATGCCTCTTCAGACCTCAACTTGAGACATCCTTAGTGTATAAGATCATTACATACACATATGCTCATTACAGAAATAAAGCTTTTTATATACACAACAGGGATATACTAGAAGACAGGAAACCCTGACAGTAGAGACTCAACCTATCTCCAGGCTAAGCATTACCCTTATAATTTAGAGGGATGAGGGTGCAGATCTGTTCAAAAAGTCATTTCTGAAGTGACTTTGATACGTTCTCATCTCTCTTTAATTTCTCAGATTTTTTCCCGGGTCAAAACAAGGTCTCATGAGGAGTGGGCAGATGTTGGTTTGATCAGTTTAGATAAACTCAAATTTGATATAAGCAGTCTAAAAATCAAAATATCTAAAGATGAGCTAACTGCTTCAAACAAAATGCAACTTTGAACAATTTTAGAAATTAAATTTATCATAAAATCATACAAGGCAATCTTTATGCAAAATCAAGACATTAAGGGTAAGATTTTCAAAAGTGCTCTGACCTAATTCTGTTCATCCACCACTGAGTGCCTTTGAAAATCCCACCCTGAAAGTCAGACCTAGCAAATAACAGCAGGAGTGAATACTTTGACCTGTAAAATAATATTCAACTGAATATATAAAGTATGCAAAAACTCAAGTTGTAGTTCACTAATTTATCTTGTGTGATTTTGAATTAGTTTTCTGTGGGGAAAAAAGCAAAGAAATCTCCGTTTAAACAACAAAGGAATCTGCATTTTTCCACTAGCTACTGAAAGCTTGGTGGTGTCCCATGGTAAGCTGGGCATTTATGTTCTCTCATTTTTGCTACTGTTGTTGCCTCTCAGCCAATCAGCTGGGTGCCCACCCCTGCTGCTGATTGGCCAAGAGGCAAAAACCAGAGCAAAAAGTAAAAGACAGCAGAAATAGCACTGCTCACTGCTGTATTGCTGTGCTTTTGGTAAGTCATGAAAAAACTCAAACCTGCATTTTTCTGTGGTTTTCCATGCCAAATGGAAAACTAGGATCCCTGGTGATAACATAACATCAATCCCTGCAGTTTCAAATATATTCACAGCACTTTCTACAGTCAAAAGATTACACTGCCCCTCAACTGCCAGAGCCACTGCTATTTTATAATTTGTTAACAGTGGAGAAAAAGAAGAGCTGGGACAAAAGAAGAACATTTGGACCCAATCATGGCAAAGTAAAGGCAAGTGGCTGGAAGAGTCAACTTGAGTGGATCTTTAAAGATCAGGTCATTGGCTACCAGGATAATTGAAAAAACACAAGCAAGAAAAAACTAAATCCTAAACCTGTCCACATTTTCCAAAAGTATAGAAAACTGATTGTGGAAATAGTGTTTGAAGGCAACATTTAAAATGTTCTAAGGAATATACTATTTCCAGCATTACACGGAATTATTTTTCCTGAATGTCTAACAATTTGGGGTGATAACAGTCTTACATATAAAATAATAAACTATACTCATAAAAAATGTAACTAATATTTATGGGGAAACATTTCATCTCCAAGTTAACCTACGTGTCTGTCTGGCAAATACAAGAGTTGGAGAAAATTGTAATTTTATATTACATTAACAACACTTATTTCCTGAGCCATATACTTCCATCCACTGTACTGTAGTGAAAAAATTAAATATATGCTCATTTTGATTAAATGGGATTAAGGTTTATTTTAGGAAGCAAATTCCAGCAATGCAGCATGCCCATACCTTTACTGTGGTGCTGATTACATCTCTTCTAATGCTCCTGCATGTATAGTAAAATTTATGCTAACTGGTTATAAGGAGGAAAACTGGCTGAGCAGAAAATAGAGATACTCAATATTTCATATGCCTGCCTGCCTTTGGAAACCACTAGAACTTTTGCAGTAAAACACTGGCTCAATTAGTTATCATTGAAACGTCGGCTGCTTGCAATCATTAAAAAAACAAAACGGCGCTTTAACTTAAACTCAGCGCCTTCCTGCTTTGAGCCCAGTGCGTGCCCAGAAGAGGCAGCACCCTAGTTGGACCCAGCTTGCCCAATGTCTGTATAGATCGGGTGTTTTAGTGGGGCTTTTTTGGCGCTTTTATCTAATAGCTGATTGAATCAGCTTTAGCTAAAAACCCTAAAAAGCCCCATTGAAGCCCCTGATCTATACAGACCCTGCAGAGCCAGATCGAACTAACACACTGCTTCTTTTGGTAAAGTATGGTTTTGTTTTGGTTTTTTTAACATCTGCAAACAGCCATTAAGTCTAACCGCATTAAGCCTTAAAGGAAAAGGGAGTGCACAGTAACAACAAGCAAACCATTGTGAGCACTGCTGATGACCTGGCTACTAGAGTCCAAAACAGACTGTGGAGAGGTTGTTTCTAAGTGTGAATGCCCAAAGGGCCAAAAGATTTTAACTAGACTTTCCCAAGGATCTTTTGATTTTGTTCATTTATAAAGTTTTGCCACTTCAGAAAAAGTGTTCACTCTTACAGATGAGGAAAGAACGTGACATGATTCCCATCATCCTTACTATGCCAAGTACAGTTTTTCCCGTCTACAGAAGTGAAAAAAACTGTATTAAAAAAAAAACTGAAAAGAGAGCTCAAGGTGACCCTACCTCCCCCATGCATCCAACCACTGCACTTTCTCCTCAATGAATCATTGTATCTTCAAGTTCAGTTACCATGAAGATATCTTTTTGCAGGAAAGGTGATGTAATTTATAGATCCTTCTAAAACCACACACAACACCTCTCTGAAATGTCAAAATTCATAGCCCCAGTCACAATATTTTGCCTTCAAGAGCACTGCCTTTTTCAGGATTTGCTGCTATTGTCTCTAAATATATAGCCATATTCAATAAATAGGAATGGTGTGTTTCTCTGGATGAACATGATACGTCTGGATATTGAAAAGATCTATCTTAAATGGGGAAGTCTTTTGGGCTCTTTTGACATGTGTCGTAAGTTTAAACTGACAACTTCAGATGAGAAATGTGCTTATTTTTTCCCCATCAGGGTTGAAATTTCCATTAGTTCCATTCTCCACTGGAAGAGCGAGCAGTGCAATTACAAATGAATATTCAGATACTTGTTACAAGGATTATAGGTTTGCTGTCCTATTTGATAAAGATCTGTTGCCATTTTCTAAATTAACAAATATTTCAACTGAAATGCAACTATGAGTGCATCTTTCATTTTTAGCAATGACATACATAGTAAAGAGTCCACTATCTGCATCAAAAAGGACGCCTGCGTGACAGACCCATACTGAACTTGTTCATGAGACACACACACTGATTCCAGCTTGCAATGTTTGTTTTAGTATTATGGAGTCACAGCTGAGAATACTGTTTAAATAGCATATGGCCTTCTGGTACAATTCAAATCAATTACTCCAATTCAATATTTCTTTAAAAAAAAAAAAAAAACCAAAAAAAACCCCCAACCCCCTCCTTTGGTTTGATCGTCTTTCTTGCTTAAACTGAGCTTCATTTACTTACCATTTACTTTAACCATATACAGCAAGTTACTTGAAAAGTGTTACATAGTATATCTTCTGTAAAAGTTTAAACAATGATAGTGTTCCTTAACAACCCAACTGTCTGTGTTGGTTCTCTTTTACCAATTTCTCTATATTTTACAGTATAGTACCAACTGACCTGAAAGTATGGTGTTACCTTGAAATGTAAAGCATTGTAATTTAGGCTATTAAGTAACTGCAGTTTCAGTTTCCACGACTACAGGATTAAAACTCATATGATATATTAAATGTGCCAAATGACACCTGCAATAATGGTAACCCTTGAACCTTGAGCTTTGTAATTGTACCAAATATTTTTCTCCCCTCTTTCTACGCCAGCCCAAATATTCAATACAAATTCTTAACAATTCCCAAATTTGGTACCCATAGAGACAAGATCCCTTCTGTTTGATCCCCAATTTTGAATTAGATGGTTACTAGAATTACATACCGATCATAGTGGTAACACCTGTATAAAGTGCAGTTCAGCAAACAACCACACACACACTTAGAAGTAATAAGGAATAAGAGCACATATACCACTACCATTATTTTGTAAATAACTGAGCATTACCTGCTACCTCCTTGCTCCGCTGAGAGGCTTCAGAAGCTAAAGCGTATGATATGGTAATGATGCGTTCCTGCTCCTGCAGCTGTGAATCTAAATCAACTGAGTTGTGTTTGTCCTGGACAACAGTAGGCTGTAGATTGTGCATGCTAGTGGGAAAGTGCAAAACAACATTAGCATTTACAAGCACAAAGAAAATCCACAGTAGAGCAGAGAACAGAGATGGATTCCATATGGCAGCTTTCAAATCTCAGCTATCAAACTCTGGGCTGTTTACAAAACAGCAAGTCAGATGCTGACAATCCAATGATAACAGTCAGTATACAGCACAGACAAAGGAGATGGCCATTACTTGTTCAGCAGTAGCTCATGCACAGTCCAAAGTATATCTGAAAGCCTTTTGTTAAAAACAGGTTTGTTTACATGAAAGCAATATGAAAAATTAATGGCTTTTCCTTGAAGTAGGAGAGAATATCTGTTGGAACCAAAAGAAAGAAGCATAACCAAGTTGTCTTTGTGTGCTCTCTTTTCCAACAGATAAACTACAGTGCCGACACTTGAGCTACTAAGGCTATGCTGGATGTTTCAAGTGAGTCTATATCAGCTGTAAGTAGCTAGTGAAGCTCTTTGAAAGTCTATGTTTTAAAGGTATAGACGGATAAGAAAGTCCCTAGATTTTCTAATCTCGGATCTTGCACTGATTCTCTTTCTTTGGACAAATGATAACCTCCCTATGGCCTGGTTCCTCATCAGACCTACCTCAAAGGTACTTTGTGAGGACTTACTAATGGTTTAGAACATTCTTAAGGTAAAGATGGGCATTTAAATATCAGTATTAAAATAGCAACTCTTTTTTTTACCACATACACCCATGTATCTCTGTCAGTATAGGTGTATTTCCCAGGATTATCATCCATGTAAATATTTATAGGACAGACTGTTTTAACAATGAGATTGCAGCTGAAACAATCTATGGTATATAGTAATGATTTTTGGATTGTAAAATGTTTAAATAATATGGGATTATAAATATCATCTGACCTGGATTTGGTAAGAATATTTTTTATCTTTTCTGCTTTGCGATGTCTTGCAGCTCGTTCTTCTGTAGTGAGTGGTTCTTCAGGTTCCAGGTCAACATAGCGCTCAGGAATCAGAACCTTTTCTGGTTTTGACAGCTATGGAATGAGAACATAGTTTTTGTAACCTCGGACCTTCAAAAACTCTGGAGTATATTTTTCTCGAGGTACAAACAGGAACTGGAAAAAGAACATGCACACTGACCAGATGCAACCCTATGCATTTCCTCTATCCTAAATATTCCTTTTGAACTTGAACTACTGCCCTTTTAACATTTTTTCCTCACACTAATGTTTTGTTTCATAGGTGTGGAGCTGTGACCAGTACGGAAGACTGGGGGAAGAATGAAGGTTAATATAGAGCCTCTCCACAACTCACTTGTCAGATGGGGTAGCTCATAGTAGAAGTTTTGGCCTTAAAAATTAGTATAAGATAAGGAGAAGATGCCAAGCTGAGACCTGTACAAAATAGTAGATTCCTTTTTCTTTCTTTCTTTCTTTTTAAATAACCTGGAATATTATGTCCAGGATGTCAATGCCTCTCTTTGTGAAGAGTAAAGAAATTAAGAAGAACCAGCATTTTTAGATCACCAGAGATTAGTTTACAATTCCAGAACTGTGGTGTGATTCACACACACATACACCCTCCCCCAAAAAACATTAAATTAAAAGCAGGATGGGATCTAATGTGCAGTGCTACTGCTTTAAAAGTGCTGTGAGTGTATTACAAAATCACGCAGCCCTAAGAGATGCATTACAACAGGTTGTACTGATATTCGTTGAGCTTCCTGGACTTTTCATGAGATCCCTAGTGAAAGTGTGCCTGTCTTAATTTAGAGACTAAGGCTATTGATAGATATAACACACGTGTTGATATCACTCACAGAAATGGTCCTACTTTAAAAAAAAAAAAATTAGATAGTTAACTATCTTTTACATCATCAAAAGCAAAATGGAATATATACGTACAATGAATTAAAGAGCAAAATCATTCATGTTAAAAAAAAAAGAAGTCTACGCAAACAGCGAAGTACTGGTATAAAAGGACAGCTGAGGATTTCCATGTCATGGCAAAGTCTTCAACTAACATAATGCCAACATAGATGGCTGTGCATTAACACCCTTCAGTCTCTCTCCAAGCACAGGGAAAGACATTGACATGCAGCATCAACGTAGATGAGCCCCATTGCTCTGCTGCAGTAAATCCTAGATATCCCAGTGTCATCCTGCTGATTTCCAACACCCATCTTTGGGGAGCTATACTCTGGGTATTTTCTAAGAGCTGTGGGCATAGGGTGTCATTCTTGTGCAATTTAGGAGGAGGGCTGGGTACAGGAGGGGATTGCAGTAAGCTTGGGTAGAGCTTTGCCATGATATGTTAAGAGCAATGGATGGCAGGAGAGGGAAAGGTAACAGGAGAGGATTATTTTTCTAACTTCTACAGTCCACAAGAGTTCACTGTTCCTCACAGAACAGGTACAAAACTTCCCCAACATCTCTATAGATTGGGTGTTTCAGCAGGGTTTTTTGGCACTTTTATCTAATAGCCAATTCAATAAGCTATTAGCAAAAAAACCCCCAAATCCCTGCTGAAGTGCGCCATCTATACAGACTTTGGGCAAGCCAGGTCAAACTAACATGATGCCTCTTCTGGATGTACACAGTGCTTGGCATGGGGGCACACCAAGCTGATAATAAAGCGCTGTGCTTTGGGGTTTTTTTCCAAGGCTAGGGACAGACATTCAAAAAGCCTGAGCCTGAATTAATTCAATATTTACAGGTTTCAGAGTTTCATAGTGCTTAGGGTCGGAAGGGACCTAAACAGATCATCAGGTCCGGCCCCCCACCCCAGGCAGGAATGAGTGCTGGGGTCATAACACCCCAGCCAAATATCTATCCAGCTTCCTCTTGAAGACCCCCAAGGTAGGAGAGAGTACCCCCTCCCTTGGGAGTCCATTCCAGAGCCTGGCAGCCCTAACCGTAAAGTAATGCCTCCTGATGTCCAGCCTGATGTTAGTCTAACCTGGCTAGGCTAAAACAGTTTGTAACTACATAGACATCCACTCGGGACTGAAAAAATTCAGGCACATGCCTGAAGTTCCTCAGGCTAGAAGCTGGGGGGCGCTAGAGCAGCCCTCCCTTCCCTTCAATGGTGCTGAGCTGAGGGGGGTGTGGCCAGGCCCCGGCAGGATGCTCTGATTAGGGAGGGGTTCCCCCCACTCCTGAGCAGCTCAGTAGGCAGTTGATAACAGTGTTTATCACCCCATTAAGAAAACAACAGAGGGACATCACCAGCTACCTGTTGATTCTGCCTTTGCCCCGTCTGCCACAGCACAGACCATAGCCAGCATGTGGCCTGCTAGCTAATGCTGTGTGTCTGTGTAAGGCAGAGGGGATGGGGGATCCCTGCTTAGCAGGGCATGGTGGGAGGAGGGAGCAGGGGGAAACAAGGCAGATGCCTACAGTTTCTGCTGGAGCTCCAGTAAGGGTCTGGGACAGACTGCATAAACCAGTTTGACCCAAATCAGTTAAGTCTGATACTACATTCAACCAGGTTCATCTCAAACTGGTTTCAGCCATTTTCAAACTGGTTTGTGTGCACTGAACATCTGTTCTGTTACAGGTTTAAACCAGTGTCTGATCACTTATACTGGTTTGTGTGTAATGTCAGTCCCTAGCCCAAGTCTGTAAGCAGCCTGAATGTACAAACATGAAGTTTTATGTACGCAACACTAGATGCACTGAGTCAAATCAGGAAACACTCCATTTGGGAAGTAGCAATAGAAAAACTGTAGCTTCTCAACTCCTCATTAAGAGTGCTGCAGTTCATATAATTAAGGAAAGACTTTACTGCCTTTTCACTTTACTAAACTGTCTTTGTCTTCTATAGTACCTTTTACTTCCATTTTTCTTGTCACGTGTTATTCCCCTTCTAAACCACCAGATGGCCATACAGCATTTCAAACAAAGGCCTTACCAAGTTAGGAAAGATGCAGGCAAAATCTCAGGTCAGTTATCACAGTCTTATCTTTTTCAGAAAGCCTAAAGTAATATAAAGTCATTTTTTTTCTTGGCCAGCAATAGGAGATATTCATTCTCAACTGAGGTTTGCTAATTCATCTGAATCAAAAGGCACAGCCAGGTAGGGACCCTGAGCTAGCTTTTTTAAAATTGCATTCCTCATTTTCTATTTTAAATTAGTCTTTAGAAGCTACCTTTAACTCCTATCTGAAATGTGTATAGCAATACCTAATTTGTTCACTTTTTCTCTTATACAATTTTAATGTTTTCCAAATATATATAACTGAACATTTAACATTTCTTTGCTACAAAAGCCAAATGCTCATTCAAATCTACACTCTCAAGAAACAAGGTCCCACAGCACTAGGCCATCAAGATCTGGACCAAATCTTGAAATATGAAAGGAAGACGGGAAAAATACAATACTTAAAAGTAAAAAAAAAATTCCAGAAAGCACACTGTAGAAAGTCATAAACCACTAGCGTTACCTCTCTGCTGATATCTAAATCATAATCCTGAGGCTCCAGGTCCATCTCTGTGACTGGTGTGGGATGGATTTTTAGCCAGTCATTTTCATCCTTTTCTTCTCCACGTACTGTTCTCTCAAGTAACTGCAAATCAAATTCTTGCTCTCGTTTCCACTGGTAACAGATACAAAACAATTAACAGTGTTCAACCAGAATGACAAATTGATCTTCTAGCAATCTTTATGGCTATGAGGTTGCTGAAAGAATCCAAGAAGTTAAACTTTTGTATCAGTAACAGAAAAAATATGATTGGCATGCAAAAATACTCTTCCTTGGAAATTCCTTCTTAATCCTACATTTTGATTTCTAGATGTGCTACAAGGTTTTAAGTATTTTTTCCTGCTAGACATTGTAACCAACTGGTATATCTATGTCCCTAAAATTCTGGAAGGCTGTACCAGAGGGACATTTATACATTACACTGACAATCGCAACTGCATCTTTTATTAAGAACTGCTAAATGACTACTACTGTTAACATTTCATAGATGGAGAACTTGACCTTATTTATAATTATGAACCTAACATTAAAATCTATTAAATATTTAAAATATCTGTAAAGCCATCATAAGACTTCACTGAAGACTATCTACATTTCTGCCACTATATACATTCATCAACAACCTACCATCTCAAACTTTTTGCAAAATAATTAGCTATCTCTATAAGACAAACTACCATAAATTCAGGGCAGATTTGTAGTTTGGCTTTATCAGTTCAAATCTGAAATAATGACACAGTACCTCCTTTTCAGCTACGCACATCATAAAAATTCATACAAACTCACATGACTAAAAGACTACAGAGGTATTTATGTTTTCATCAAATGTATAACTAAGTGATAGTGTCATATTTTGGTTGGGGGAGATCATCAATTTTATCTTGCACAGCTGAAAATGGGAAGGACCATTTCCGCCCCAGCGTTTCTAATCATGAATGAATAATTTCTCAAGTATTTGACAATGTAGATAGGAGAACATGGTTTCACAAACATGATTTTTAAAAATATATATACCTATAATTATAGTACAAAGGAGTGGGCACATTGTAACCCTTGGCTGGCTTTGATGAAAACTTTCAGCCACATAGACTATACTATATTATACATATTAAAAACTGATTTAAACCTATTCATGCACAAGCTCTCTATGTTCACTCAGAAGATGCATAGTTTTATACAGATTCAAAATGTCATATAATTAAAAGGCAATTGAATCATATAAAATTGAGAGATCTCTTCTTGAAAATCCAAAGGCGGAAAAAACACGTTTTCTTATATAGTTAATGTTCAAAATACCTTCTTCTACTCAAATTCGAACCAGGCCTGATTGTCATAAGATACTTTAAAACACACACAATATTATATCCAAGTTATTATTATGTTGATAAGAAAAACATCAAACTCCTATTACGAAGCAATATTTTTATTGGCTTTGATGTTGAAACTTTTACATTAAAAAGGCATTTCATATAAACAAATAAATCCATGTACTATATTCAAAATTTAGAATGTCAATCTACACTTGAGGCAACCAATTTAAAAAAATAGATTAAAATGAGAGTTACACATACAATGTATGTTGAAAGCATAACGTTACATACTGTGCTGTGCGGCACCTTCATTACATATTTAAAGGTTTACCATTTTGGCTGCTAAATAGTTGCAATGCTCTAAAATAATTAATTGTGCTATCAAACATACTTTTATGTTTTTCAGCCCTCTAGACGCAGGAGTCATTCCCTATGAAGCATATCTGGGGCTGGTGGAGATTGTATAATTTCTTTATAGCAAGAAACAGATCAAGATGGCACACACATTTGTAAATAAAATATATGTCAAAATTGTTAATAAGGAGTGTCATAAAATGTTTATATTAGATGTGTATATGTATGTTAAAGTCTTATAACAATACAAGTTCAGGTTTAGTTTTGCTAATTAAAACATGAAAATGCCAGTGATATCGAAGTTTTGCTCTATGCCAACCCAAAGGCTATATACTATCTTTCAATAGATTTGACTGCAAAACAGAAGCCAGAACAGATTAAGATCAGAATCACAGGGTTGGAAGGGACCTCATACAAGCTGGCTCAATAGATATGCTATTCCTAAACCATCCCAGACAAATGCCTATTCAGCCTCTGCTAATGTCTCTAAGCAGAGCATTCATATTTTTTTGGTAATGTAAATAGGGATAACTAGGTTGCAAGTCTGTGTTATCGAAGGAGTCTTGAATGAGAATGAAAGGTGAAGTAATATCAAGGGGCCCGAGAATACTAACGTTTGACACACAGCTACCAAATGCAATTAAGCCTGGTAAAAATTGAGTAGTCTAGTTAGAAATTTTAAATTAATTAGAAACCTCTTTGAAATAAAAATAAAAGCATTAGATAGGATGAGTGACAATTCTAAAAGCAAGAGATCTTGTGCAATGAATTAGGTAAATAAGCTGAGCATTTCAAAGCTCTACTGAACAAAATAAAAATAAATTTAAAAAGGAAGACTAGCACTACAGTGGCTGTGCAATTACAGTTCATTCTTGTTTTGACACCAAGTGAGCAATTGGGTACCTTCATCATTTAGGATTACTCTGTTTAGTATCCCAAATATACCATTACATATTTAAATTCCAAACAGCATTTACTCCCAAATAAACAAGCAGAAAAATATTTTTCAGCAAACTGACTCCAAGCCATATTAGAATATTCAATACATCCAGCTTTAGAGAATAACTTATAGTAATTAAAACATATTAACTGTCACATAGTTAGCTATGAAGTATTAATAGGTTTTAAAGCTGATTATCAGTTTATGTATTTTGTTAACTCATTAAAAAAATAATGGTTTGATAAAACCATAGGTATCCTCTAAACTTCTTATAAAGGTTCTTTTTAACACACTAATAAAACCATTCAAAATGGGCCATTCTGTTGAGGAGTAGTTTGAAAAACATACAAACTTCATTATACTAATTACAGTTCCAATCAAAATCAATTTCCATTTCTGAAAATCATTTCAATATATTCTATTCTCCTCTTGCCATACTAATTCACTAACCAATTTACCTGCAGAACCTACTATATATGCTGCACTTATTTGTAATCAGAATCTGATTATGTTTGTCATACTCTTGAAACTGATAATACACTGCATTATATAATTAGGCTAGCATCATGCACACTCAAGTGAAAGTGCTTACTAGAAAAACTACAGATCATGTTTTTAGCTAAGTCCTTTTAAGACATGTCTAACATACTGAGCCTATGTCTGCAGAAATGGGTCGGATGAAAGACCGAGATGAAACAGACTGTCTTTCTCCTTGGCTAAGAGTTCTCTTGCGTTCACGAACTAATGCCTTTTGATGTCGTTTCATTCTTTCTAGTTGTTCCTCAGCACTCATCCTGCCTCTTTGGTGGTCTCCAGAGTATAAGCGTTCCAAGGCACTCTTTGGTCTTTCCTGTTAAAAGTAACAAGGTGTACAAAACATATGTTATAATTAATACTTTATATAAGAAGTATACTAGAAAAAATGTCTTTCCCCAACTTTCTCACTCTAAATGAGCTGATTTTCTTTTATTGCTTCTATATATTTCACACATTTTCAACTTTACAGTTTCATTCAGCAGCAAACACATCGTACCAGGGCCTTTGTTACTCTATAACAAATCCAACAAGTTCTTATGTTTCTGTGCAGTCCTGGTTCATTTTATAACATGACAAATAAGAGAATTTAATCTGATAACAGCAGTTTTAAAAAAGTATTCATCTCCCAAGTGCTACCAGAATCTCAGCTCCTGTTATGAAAAAATACACCTATGCTTAGCATACTGTCCTGAGAGAACCAGACATTTTATTATCAAATGTTCTACTTACCTTGGAGCTATCTCTTCGAAGTGTTGCATAAGATGATACAGTGGATGATTGGTGCAGTCTGGAAGTTGATCCAGATAATCCTTTATAAAGAAAAATATCCAATACTTTAAAGCAAAGCAGTTCTCAAGAGAAAAATAACAGGTAGGTGGCCTTAAAATCATTTTACATTTTTTATTACATAACTACTATAGCTCATGTAGTAATACAGTAATGGGTCACAAAGCCAAAGAATTTAAGAGGATTTCTTTGATGGCTGTTATGCTATGTTCCTCATTTTCTAACACAACAATAAAAACACCAACCACTAGCGGTATTGTCAAGATACTGAGAAACTGTATAGTATTTGAGATCACAGCATAGTCAACTTTTAGGATGACGACTCCAAAATCACTCCAAAGCCCTAAGAATTAAAATCTCAAAGAATGTCATGTACCAAATGCCTTTTAAAAACTGTCTTGTAAGACTCCCCAGGCTTACCTCTGGTAGGCAATGTCTGGTATCCACTGTCAGAACCTATGAAACCAACTGCAGATTGGCCGAGATCACCACTAATTGTTGCCAATTCAGGTTCACTCATATACGAACGAAGTTCTACCTATGTGGATAAATAGTCAGTTTATCAAATGAGCCTACACAGATTTAAGACAAATTCAAATAGTTTCCTTGTAGGTTACATGTTAACACATTTTCTCTGACACTCTATCATTATTTCTGCTTGCTCTGCAATTTACCACAATGAACAACTGAAGTCCATGAAACAAAGACTTGGAGTCTGTGAGTGCTCACCCTATAATCTCCATTCATACACTGTCCTAGTTCTCGATCTCTCTTTCTTTCATCTGACTGACGTTTCAGGCCCCGTACAGATGTGTGTCTGATAACAGAGGCTTCCCTTGGAAGAGGTGGAATAGCTGGTGGGTGATCATCAGGGCTGTACAGCTGAGGGAGAGGAGGTCTGGGTGGTGCTTCATCTTCCTAGTTAATAAAATTTTAAAAATTGAGATTCAGCAAATAGTACGCCATAGGTTTTAAGAGGACAAAAACTGCATGCTTCCTCCTATATTTAAGATGTATTACTACTAGTGAACTTTTGCATTAATACAGAACAAAATATGTACCTTCCTACCAAGAAATTAATGTACATAAATTGGCATGTTATCCACTGAACTACTTCTTCAAGTACTAGGGTTCAGTTCTTTTATGTACAACTTATAAATCTCTCTCTTGTCTATGTATCGGGGGGCCTTTCCAAGACTGATTAGGAGTTGCCCCACCCACCTGTTTCTGGGCTAACTGCTTGTCTCTCTCACCTGCCATGCCTTGTTGTTTAATAATTGGTGTCTTATTCAGACAGGAGGCTGCCCTTTGGCAGCCCTGTTCTCCTGGGCCTATGTATGCAGTTTCAACCACCCCTGTACTGCATCCCAAGCCTCACAGATGACACACACACAATGTTCCTTTCACAACATGACTGGTGTTCCTGGATCTCACAGGGACTCTCCCTCCCTCCCTGGAACAGCAGGTCATTGTGCTCAACCTCTAGGTCTTTCTTTTGACTCATACTTGGCCTCCTTGTGGTAGAGGTCTTACCAGGGTCAGGACTCACCCCTAACTCTCTGGCTGAGCCCCCATTCAGCCTCTGGCCCAACTACCGTCTCAGGCATCCAAAGACATATCTTGGTCAACTCCCCACTCCTCGGGTTCCTACTGTACCCACTCTAGGGCCTCTACACCATGCTCTACCCTGGGGTCTTCTCATCCTCCTCACGCTCAACTACATCCTTACACTTGACTATTGACAGGGCTGGCCCTTGCATTGCCCTTCAGGCCTACTCCCAGTTCAGCCCTATTCAACGTGCCCCTGGGACTGCCCTTCAGGCTGACTCCTTGTTCAGCCCCCCTCACACACAGTCCTTCAGACCTACTCCCCTTTAGCCCTACTCTGTGTGGGGCCACACAACTCCGCCCTCTTCCCTAGGGCCTCACTACACTGCCCTCTCTCAGGGCCTTGAGGTTGACCACCCCCATAGGCTCAGGTGGCACTCTGCTTGCCATGCTTGGCCCACCACACTCCCTCCCCAGGGTCTTGCATCCCCCTCATGGGTTCAGGTGGCTGCAGCCATGCCTGGCCCCAATATTGCCTCCCAAAGCCCACCTGAAGATGGAGGCTAGGGTTAAGGCACCCCTCTTTGCCTTTCATTGGGGAAGTAACTGGTGTGGCATTTCTTGGGGGCTCCCACGCCACTAGGAGCCTCACCAGGCCTCCCTTCCCCAGCAGGGTGCAGTTTTAGGTCATGCCTAAAGAGCCTCCTGCTCTTACTTTCTAGGTGTTCCTGCTGCAGCTCAGCCAGGTGATGTTTCTGCCTGGGCTGGCAGCACCAAACTGCAGCCTTTTTATACCTGGTTCTCCAAAAGCCGCTGCCATCAGGCACCTGGTAGCTGCCTGACTCTCCCCTTAAAGTGGCAGGCACCCAAAGGTGCACTGCCACAGTCTCCATAGTAGATAATATTTATTTTATTTATTTTGTTTCATTTATTTTAACAGTATATGTTTCCATTGGCTCTTTTAGAATTATATATGAAACTTGTTTTACAAAATGCAAAACCATGTTACTTATTGCTCTCTGTCTTTACAAGTATACATTCTGTATTATTGGCCAATTTCAAATTTATAAGAAAAATAGCAACAAAATATTTTCAGGTATAGCAATTAGATAGGGTAAAAAATAGTCTAGTTAGAGTCACAGTAGTAACACTTAACAACCTTTGGTTTTAGCTTAACTGGTGACTGAAGAGGAGGTTCAAGTTTCTTCAGAATCTGTGGATGAGACTGTGTTCTAGGCTGAATATAAGGCTGTGGAAACAGCCTAACCTCCAGAGATGACTTAATGGGACTAGATGGAGGACTCTGCTGAGTAGAGAATTTGTTCTCCATAGTTGTGAGTGAAGTTGGTAACGAAGGCACTACAGGCTGAGAAAATGAAGGCACTGTTTTTCTTTCTGGGGAATAAACAGGTAAATACAGTTGAAGTTGTATATATAGCTATATGTGTCCAAAATGTTAAGTTTTTCTATAGAAATAGCCAACAAAATAATATGAGTAGGCTTTAAAAATGTACTGTATTTTGAAGGTACAAAAATCTCTGATGTTATGACTATGCCTTAAAATGTTCATTCCTCTGGACATGGATAGGCCTCTGCAATTATATTTTAAATTTTTGAATAAATAAATAGCTCCATAATTTTAACTTCATACCTTGTTTATATGTACTGGGTAAATATATATCTTTAAATATATCCTCAAAACTGTATCTACACAAGGCATGAACCAAGTTGTTCTTTTCCAACTTCCTTGATCATTTTTCTATGAAACACAATGAGGCTAACTGGCATGCAGACTACGTACACTGTTTCATATCTCTTTTGTTTACAACAGAAGGCAGCTTGATCTGCCAGCCAATTATCTGCCATAAATAAACTAGAATGACATGAAGGCAGAGGAAGGGGCACAAATAAAAGGAAAAGGTTGATAAAATGGGGATTGAAGGAGCTACTAGGTAGGTGGTAGGTAAAACAGAAATAGAGCCAGTAAATGTGGGAGTGCTCTAGACTTAGATCTTTCCTGTGGTTTGGATAACTGATTCTTGATATTTTTGCATGGCTTAGCTACATCAGTAAGTATGAAGACACCCAAACCAAAACAAGTATTGAAAGTTGTGTTTGGCATCCATTGATTTCTGACCCACCAACAGCAGAAGCATTCTGAAACAGTATATATTCTTTGGCCTTCTATCCAATTCTGAAGACCCATGAAAGTCGAGATAAATTTGAATACAGCTTTACAGTTGAACTTTGACTAAGTTTCTCTTACCTGGGTTCTTGATAGATTCTACTATGATTTTGTAGTTTGTTTTATTTGCACTTAGGCCAGCTGTAACATCTTCAATTCTCCATAAATCTTTTTGCATTTGTGATTTCTCCTAAAGTTAATTAAAACAAAAGTGTAAAAATTAATTCTCTACTTATATTTATTCCATTTAATTTATTTTAAGCCAAATATTTTAGTGATGTTCTGAAACTTTGGCTGCATATCTATTACTAACGTAGGAACTCATATTGTTAGCACATTTAGTCAGCCAGTTCAAAACTAGAGGTCTTCCTCAGGACTATACTGGTGGAAACAGAGTACTCTCCAGATAAGATGACAGTTGTGTAGTTGTACGTATATGTTCAAGCAGATTCCAAAGTTTGCAGACATGCCTAAGAGTCTGGACATGGGCTTTCTGTGGTAACAGAGAGAACATCTTGCTGCTGTTGGGAAAATATGATAGACAAACATGACCTACCTACAGCTTGAGATACAGTAATGGAGTGTTTCCCAAAGTTTGGGGAAGCATAAAGAACTTGACAGGTGATGAAGGGATATTGCAGACATACCACTGAATTATTCTCTATGGTTCCAGCTTTTATATAAATTAAAAGCTAGTTTAACCTTCAAAATATGAAATGTGTATACATGCATGTAATGATGCATGTAAACTTGCTTGGGCTTATGGAGAACCTGAAGCAACAGATCTGAAGTGCTGTTTATTTCAACAGGTACCAATTTAGCCATCACTGTGCGTGTCTACATGTGCACTTAATGTGGGAGCAGTTGACTTGTGAGTAAACTATTCACAAGTAAATGCTCCCAGGCAGGCGTCTACATGTAGAGGGAAGCAGGATTGTGTGATGGTGAAGCGGGGGCTGGGGGATAAGGATCCCCCCCGCTCCCCATTGTGATCTTGGAGCAGGGGACTTGGAGTTCTCTGCTGCCAGGCAGAGGGACATAGTCCCCACCTAGACTCCAGTAGCAGAGCCTGCCCCAGCAGCAGGCACCTCTCAGGGGCAGGGAGCAATCTCCCACCCCCTGGTGGCTGGCTGACCAGGAGCAGATTTGCTCCTGGTCAGGCATCTACATGAGCGCTATTGTTCAGTAACTAATCACAAGTAAATTTGCTACTTGCAGTTGCAGGTAGCAAATTTACTCATGATTAGAGAGGTTTACTGTGCAGTAAAAATGTGCACATGTAGGCACACATACTTACTGCATAGCAAGCTAGGCTACTGCACAGGGAAGCATCTCATGTAGATGCGCCCAATAGTGATATTTTAAATATCTCCACCGTTAAATATTTCACTGTTTATCAATGCATGTGAGAAAAGAGAGGAAAGACCATATTAGGAAGATGTACTCCACCTAATCTCAGCAACCACTCACTTTAGCATCATAACTGACAACTGGGAGGAGCAATCAGGAAAGAGGAGATGGAATTCATATGATCTTATGCTCTTTTTCATACATAGGCAGTAACCTGGTCTGAAGCTTCAGGGGAGGACAGTGGCTGTTGCCACCAGATCTTGCCTTTACTACAAACCTGCTCAACCACTCAGGAGAACAAAGGTTTTTCAACATCACCCACAAAAGTAAGCATAGCTCTCGGTTCTATCTAAATCAGTCAGACAATTAACATAGCACATCAAGAGTAGTAAGTGAGCACAACTGATACTACTGTCCTGGAGAGATGCTTCAGATTTTAAGAGCTTGCAAAACACTGCCATCATAAGAAATCTCTCAACACCATATCCCTAGAAAATCTGAGAAAGGCTTGAAGAGAAATGCAAATGGAGGCTAAGAGGTGTGCCCAAGATTTTTGGCTGAAACTCTGTGATGATATTCAGAAAGCAGCTGACATAGGTGATAACCATGGAATGTCCAAAAGCATCAAACAAGCAACTGGTCCAGTCAAGATGAAAACAGCTCCACTAAAAGACTGAAATGGAAACGTCACTACTGATAAACAAAAACAACTTTAGCATTGGATTGAACACTATGGAATTATATACTCTAGTGAGACTGAAATCAAACATTAACAGCTCAAAAGAATACCATAGTTAGAAGTTATGATGGATTTAGACAACAAGCCTATATTAGAAGATTTGCAGAAAGCCAGTAAATAGATTCCTAGGAATAAAGCATGACTGTTTGCCTGCTGAAATCTACAAATGTGCCAATTTGTAGATTACTTTGAAAGCTTCAGGAAGTTATACTGCTCTGTTGGAAAGAGAAAGCAGTACCACAAGTGTTCAAAGATGCTCAGTTTGTACATTTGTACAAAAACAAATGGGATGGAAGCCACAGTGACAACTATAGAGGTATCTCCCTGTTGAACATTGTTGGAAAAGTTGTCATTCGTATCATGCAGCCTAGGCTTCAATCTTTAGATGAAAGAATCTACCCTGAAAGTCAATGAGGTTTTCACTCGGGATGCTCCACCATTGATATGATATTTTCAGACAAGCACCCGCAAGAGAAAGGTAGAGAAAAACTAATACCATCGTATATAGCCTTCATCAATCCAAAGAAGGCCTTTAATACAGTCAAAAGACAGGGACTTTTTACTGTTCTGAAGAAACTGAGTTGTCCCCCAAAACTCTGGGACATCATTTGCTCATTATAACAAGGTATGAAGGCGACTGTAGTGTATGGAAACAAAGAATCAAATGCCTTTGACATCAACAATGGGGTGAAACAGGGGCGTCTCTTAGTCCTCATGCTTTTTAACATCTACTTTTCATTCTTGCTTCTTCGTGCATTCAAGGACAGCAATAATGGCATATATCTTGGAACCAGACTAGATGGAGGTGCGTTCAACACTGTAAGGTTTAGAGTGAAAACCAAGGTGAAAGAACTGGTTCTGACAGATTTCCTGTTTGCAGATGACGCAGCCTTGGTGCCCACAGTGAATCTTTCCTGCAAAACCTCTTGGGCAGATTTTCTGATTCATGCAAGATATGTAGGATAGCTGTTAGTCTCAAGAAGACTAAGGATGTACCAAAGGGTGAAGGAACCAATCAATATCTGCCATCACTCTAGAGGATAAATCTCTTTGTGTCATTGACAGTTTTTACTACTTGGGTTCTATGATCAGCAGGA